TCAGCAGGAGGGGGTGGTGAAGGGGCTCTGAGAGGTGATAGGACCAGGCAGGAGATGAGGTGAGGAAAGGGGGTGGGGCCTCAGGGAGTGAGCGAGGCTTGGGCATCGCTGACTCCTCCCCCTGCTGTCCTGTAGGTCCCGGGGACGGGGACGGCGACAGCGGGTTCAGGAGGAGGGGGAGGGGGAGAGCCAGGAGGAGGCGGACGAGGACCCCCTCGAGGACCCTCCTCCCCCTCCCTCGGACGACACCCGCGTGGAGAACATGGACATCAGCAGTGACGGTGAGGGGCCCGGACATCTGGGTTCTCTCCAGCTTTTGGGGGGGGTGCTGGGTGCCCAGACATGTGAGCTCTCCTGGCGGAGTGTTTCTCAACCCAGGGGTCATTCCCCAGAAGTGGTCACAAGAACATAGGAAAGAGCAGCCAATGCACTTGGACAATAGATTCTTCTTTAAAGGAGAAAAATGTGGGATCCCTTGCAGGCTGGCAGAGCTCCAGCTTGGGAGGGGCTGTGGGGGGCCACCTGCCCCACAACCATACCCTGTGGGCCGGGGCAGGAGGCAGCAGGTCGGGGGTGAGGGGCACTGGGTCAGGACTGGCTGTGGATGTCCACAAATAGGTCGTGGCACAAAAAGGGTTGGGAATTAGTCTTGGAGGGCTGTGGTGGGGAGAGCAGACCCTGACCCCACCCGTTTCCCTCCCCACCCACAGATGAGGCCCTGCCCCCTGGGTCACCCCCGGTGCTGGAGGAAGATGAGGCAGAGCAGGAGCTGCAGAAGCAGCTGGAGAAGGGGCTGCGCCTGCGGCAGCTCCAGCAGCTCCGTGAGGGTGGAGACAAGGTGAGGGGGTGGGGTCTGCAGGGTAGGGGCGGGGTCTTGAGGGGTTGGGGACAAGAAATCCAAAGGTGCTCCCTGTCTTGGCCTTCCTGTCCAGGCTCTTAGCCCACACCTCTCCCATGCCCTGGAGAGAACCCATGCTGCCCGGGGCTGTCCATCTTCATCCCATTAACCCTATTATGGCAGTTCCTCCAGGCACCTGCCCTTGATGCTGCAGGGGTGGGGCAGGTGCAAGTACCGCAGTCCCCTAGGACAGGGGTGCATGTGTACCTCCCTGCTGTGTAGTGTCTCAACCCCCTGGAACACGCAGGCAAGACGTAGGCACAGATCCAGGCCGAAATAGATCCGGAGCCAGGCCCGAACAGGTAGATCCAAACCTAAACAGATGGACAAACCCAGAGCCAGAAGGATGGACAGACCCAGACAGGTCCTGGTGTGGACACACATGGACTCGGACATAGACAGACAGACGGACCCACACCCAGATGGACAAAGAGATTCATATTTAGACCCACAGACAGACAAGGACCATGACCCAGCCTGACAGGCCCAGGTACAGCAGTGTCTAAACCCGCTAGGCCCCCTGGTCTGACAGCTCGTGTCTCCTGGCAGGTGGCAGAGGCGGTGCGGCGTCTGGCCCGGGCAGGGCCGGGGCTGGATGCAGACATGGGAGTGGAGCCGGAGGAGGCAGGGGCAGAGCCAGAGCGCAAGGGGGCCATCGTCTTCAATGCCACCTCTGAGTTCTGCCGCACGCTGGGGGAGATCCCCACCTACGGGCTGGCTGGCAACCGCGAGGACCCCCAGGACCTGCTGGTGAGCCTGGGTGGGGGCAGGGGGCTACGGGTTGGGAGTGAGGGGCACCCAGGGGGCAGGGGCTGTAGGCCGGGAGTGAAGGGCATCAGTTGTGCTGGGTTTGCGGAGCGAGGGAGTATGGCATCATGCCATGCTCCATGCTGTGGGTATGCAGGGCATTTATGCATTGTGGGTAACTTGTAACCACCTTAATATCAGATGCCCCAGAATCCTTTGGGGTTGAGGGGGAGCTTCCTTGAGGCTTGGGGAGAGGAGGGGGTCTCAAGGTGGGGGCTGGTTCCCAAGTTAACACATTCTCCTGCCCCCAGGACTTTGAGCGGGATGAGGAGCGGTCGGTGACGGGGGCCTCGGGCTCCGATGGGGAAGAGAACATGGGTTGGAGCACCGTGAACCTGGACGAGGAGAAGCAGCAGCAGGACGTGAGCATGGGGGCTGTGGGTTGGGAGTGAGGGGCACCTGCAGGGCTGGAGATGGGGCACGGAGCTGCAGGTTGGGAGTGACGGGCATCGGCCAGACTGATCCTAACTTTCCTCCTCCTCCCTACTCAGTTCTCGGCCTCATCCACCACCATCCTCGATGAGGAGCCAATCGTGAACCGGGGCCTGGCTGCAGCCCTGATGCTTTGTCAGAACAAAGGTAAGGCCCTGCCCCCCGCCCCCCAGCTAGATGTTCCACCCCAGAGCTGGCTGCATCTGTGTTATACCCAACTGCCAGTGCCCTCTAGGGCCAGCTGCAGCCCTTTATACCCAACCTATGCCCTGCCCAGAGCTAGCTGCAGCCTGTCATACCCAGCCAGTGTCCCCCAGAGCTGGCTGCAGCCTGACAGCTCCCTCCCTGTTTCCCCCCAGGCCTGCTGGAGACAACTGTGCAGAAGGTTGCCCGGGTGAAGGCCCCCAATAAGTCCCTGCCCTCGGCCGTCTACTGCATTGAGGACAAGATGTGAGTGGGGCATGCGCAGGGATGGGGCTTGAACCTGCCACCCTTGGGGGAGGGGGTGGAGCTCCTGCAGTCAGAGGGCGGGGCACTGGGGGCTGAGGTCACACCTAATAGGGATGTGGGGTCAGGTGTCAGGAGGGTTCCCCCTGTGATGAGCGGGGGCAGGGAGCTGCGGGTCAGGAGTGAGGGAGACGGGTGGGGCAGAGTAGCCTCTGGTGACCACTGCCCCCCCTCGCCCAGGGCCATTGATGACAAGTACAGCCGGCGCGAGGAGTACCGCGGCTTCACACAGGACTTCAAGGAGAAGGACGGGTACCGGCCCGACGTCAAGATTGAGTACGTGGATGAGACGGGCCGCAAGCTCACGCCCAAGGAGGTAGGGGCAGATATCATGGCTGAGGGTGGGACCTGATGTTATGACTGGGGGCAGGACCTGGGGTGCTGAGACACTGCCCCAGGGTGGAGGTGGAACTTGGGGGCAGGAAGTCTTTGCTAGGGAGCAAGATGGGGGCAGGGCTTGGGGGAACCTGTGGCTTTCCCCTGAGGCTCTGGGGTGGGGCTGAACTTGTGAGGGGTGGGACTGCAATGGTGGAAGTGGGCGGGGTTTGGTGACTTCCCAGGGAGAAGAGCTTAGGCAAGATCTTTCAGGGAAGGAGGGGGTGAGGCTCAGAGGCGGGACTCTGACCTATGTCCTGTCCCCAGGCCTTCCGGCAGCTCTCGCACCGTTTCCATGGCAAGGGCTCAGGGAAGATGAAGACAGAGCGGAGGATGAAGAAGCTGGACGAGGAGGCGGTGAGAGTGTCTTCTCCTCCCCCCCCCC